CATGTTCATGTGAAGAATTAGTTATACTGGTAAACTTATAATTTATTTTTTTTTAAATGGTGCAAAAAGTGTGTTACACTACAGATGATGATTTGAACACTAATAATGATAAATATGCTCTTTTGATACATTTCACTTCCTCTTCAGATGTCTGAGGAAAATGGCAGAAAATGGAAGTAGGCTGATTTCTGACCACTAGGTGGGGAAACAACACAATTTAAAACGTAATATCACTTTGGCCTCAACTACTTTATTTTTATAAATATTTATTATTTCTAATTTTTCACCCACCTCCAATCTTTTCCATTCCTAAGGCACTGTGGCCTGAATGATATAATTACAAGTGACTTCTGGAGAGTAGGCAGGTGATAAAGGCCACCATAGTTCCTGAAATTCCTTCCTTGATCCCAGTGAGAGATTTGTTTTGTTATCTTAAGCAAAACAGACTCTGCACCCTGGGGAGAACTGTAACCTTCTCAGTCTTTTATTTCTTTGGAAAGCCACTCCCTCACCTGAGCACTAGTTTCCAGTTGCTCTGGTCCTTGGACCCAGGAATTCTCCCCTCTCTGTCATGACCATTTTGCCCTCTTTACTGGCTCTTTCCCATCAGCATAAAAACTTACTGATATTTTTTCCATCTTAAAACAAAAAAATCTTGATTCTAATTTTCCCACCAGTTCCTGCCCCATTTCTTTGTTTCTCTTTTCTCCTTTAAAGCACAGTCTGTACGTGGGCACCCCAATACCTGTCCTTTCATGCTCTTTTCAAGCTATTTCAATCAGGCTTGTTATCATCCCCACTACTACAGAAAATTGCACCCACACTGACCTGCCTCTGACATAGCCAATCATTGCTCCCTCCTTAGGTATACTATCTTTACGTGGCTTCCAGGACACCACACTCTTGTTTTTTTTCCTACTTTATTGGTTGTTCCTTTTCATTCTCCTTTGCTGATTTTTCTTCTCCTAGGCATACTAGGGTTGGAATTACTCTCCTAAGAGTCTCATGAGGTTAAGTGTGGAATATCTGCCTATGATTCTCAAATTTATATTTTTAAGCCAGAACTCCCTTCTGAACTCTTCACTTCTTATACCCAATTGCCGTGTCCACATTTCTACTTGGATATTTAAGAGACACCTCAGGCTTCACATATCCATGCCCTCCTGATCTTCCTCACCTCCAAACCTGCTCCCCTTCAGCATCTTCCATTTCAGTAGATGGAAACATCATCCTTACAGTTGCCCAGGCCAAAACCCTTGGAGCTATCTCTAATTCTTTTTCTTTCATACCCGAAATCCAAATTCTGCTGCCCCTATCTTCAGAACATATCTGGAATCTGGACACTTCTTACCACCTCACTGCCACCATGCTGGTAAGAGCCTCCTCGCCTGCATTTCTGCACTATCTGACCAACTGGTTTCCCTGCTTCAACATTCACCTACTGTCTCTTTTCAGAAAGATGTCAAGGTAATTTTTATAAAACACAAGTCAGAAAACATCACTGCTCTGCTCAACTTTTCTGTGGTTCCCATTTCACTTCGGATAAGAGCCCTACATGAGCCCTACATGAGCTGAGCCTTTTCCTACATTCCTTCATTCACTTGACTCCAGCTCCAGTTACCTTCCTCCAGTCTTTGAACATTCTCAGCCTTTGTTCTGTTTTCTCTGCCTAACTCTCTTACTTCCTCTTTGCTCAAGTCTGCCTTCCTATAAAGGGAGCCAGCCTCACCTCTCTGTTTAAAGTTGCAACATGCTGTCTCCAATCTCACCTTCATACTACCCCACCCAACTGTGCTCCGTTTTCTCCTGTCACGCTGGATGTTGCCTAACATACTATATCCTTTACCTGTTTATTCCTTTTATTCCTTTGACCTCTTGCCTCTTTGATGAGGGCAGGGATCTTTGTTTTATTTGCTGGTATTTCCTGAACTCCTATTACCAAGGCAGGAGGTCGTGGCTCAAAAACAATTGTTGAGTGAATGTAAAATAATCTATTAGATCTTGACCTGAGAGTGGCCCTTGATTTGCAAGAGGAGGGATGAATGGCATCTGTAGGCCGACAAGGTAGCACCTGGGAAACACCCATGTGGCTGTTTTGAAGGGTGGTGGTGTGAAGAAAAGCACAGGAATGCCCATATCTCACAATTTTACTTAAAAACCATCCCATCAATTTCCCTCTCACATGAGACATACATTTTTGAGCCAGACTATCAATATCTATTTTGATTTCATTTCCCCTTGTGTCTTATCTAGCTTCCTCTACTGGGGGAAAGTTTCTAACCCAGGTATTTCTTCATTTTGGAATTTACTTGGGCTCTCTGATGTAAGTCTGAAAGTTTTCACTGCACATTTTTACTTTTGAAAAAAAAAATCTTATTGATGTCCCTTACTTTCAACTCCTCTATTCCTTCCATTTGATAATTAACTTTCAGATACTCCAATTATAGTTTATTTAGACAATATAACATTGAAAACTCTTATTTCTCTCCTTCTTTCTTCTGAGAGAATGTATTTTGTGGAGTTAGTAACTCTTAGATGAATCAGACTTTCTAATTAGGAGTCCTTAACAAGATGGGAGTAGGGATGAGGTAAAGTTTATTACAATTGGTGGGTTTTACTAATTTCTAATGAAAACAATATTACAAATAAAAATTTGAGTCTGGCTGGTTGGCAGGCCCTTTTTCAATTTTGCAAGAATTCCCTGCAAAGCTAGGGAATTGTCCAACCTCCTAGTAGTAGCACAGGCTACAGGGCTGTTTTTGAAATCCTATCTTCTTCCCACAACTTTTTACTCCCCCCTCCTTATCATAATGGATTGTATGGAGTAGGTTTGTGGAAAAGAGGTAACATAGCAGGCCTGAAACTGCTATTTTTAGAAGAATCTGGTACCAAGGTTGGCCCTTGGCTTGTATCTGGGAACACAGCTTCTAAAAAATTTCCTGCACTGATATAAAAAATTGCCTAATTGGTAAGAGTGCTTTGCTGTGCCCAGGCTGTATAAACAATGTGTCTTATGATGCACATTGGCTTTTCTTCTAGAAGACTTGTGTTTTGGTAGTTGCTAGGTAGAAGTTGCCTATGTGACCAGCGCGCAATAAAAACCTGTCTCTAATAGGCTTCCCTGGGGATGTAACATTACACATGCATTGTATTTTCATGGCTGGAGAAAGGAGCACTCTCAGAGCGCCTGCTCTCAGTCTTAGAAAGAGCGTGTTACCGTAATAAACCTTAGCCATCAGTGCTACTATATGGTGAGGTCTTTTAGTGAATCATCAAACATATGAGTGGTCTTGGGGCTCCCCAAACAGCAGGAATAGCCAGATACTCCTTCTTTTCACAATTTCTTTGATCAAATGATTACCAATCTTCATGTCTTACAAATGTATAGGAATTCATGCTCAAGGTGTTTATTAAAATTTCTCACTAGAATTACACAGGATCCAGAAGTCTGACTGAAGCCAGTAGCTGTGACAGGGTTACATAATAAAATTCAAAAGTACTAAGTTCAGAATCTAGGGGGTTAAATTTATTAAAGTAGGAAATAAGTTAGGTAAATGAAACAGGATTTATAGTACAAGTGAAAGGAAAATAATTTACACAGAACACAGGTGTATTTAAGAACACATATTAATTAGTTATTTTAATTAAACTAATATTTATTTAGCACTTTCATGTTAGTTGGCAGATGGCTTAGACTTTTATTTGGTAGCTAGATATTGTGGGGTATTAGAATTTTTAAACAGAACTCATAAACCGAAATACCAGGAGAGGTGAGCAGTTATCGTAAGTACATAATGCAGGCCATATAGAAGATAATAGCCACTAACCTGTGCTAATACCTTCTAGTTACTTCCTTTAAACCCGCCCCCCCTGAAAAAAAAGCATAACAGAGTGAAACAAAATGGAGGCTATCCATGACTAATATGTTTTTAATCCATGCTGTAAATTGTAATCATCAGCATTTAAGGAAAGCTGTCATTCAGGTATTATTATTAACAAAGTCTATTATATGGATTACACCTATAAAATACTTTAAATGTAAAGAATATCAATCTGGTAGGGGATGGAAGGCAAGGAAAAACAAACTGTAGCTAAATATTTTGGGATATTACTTATTTGTGGTAAAGGAAAACCATGTAAAGCAATTTTCTAGAAGAAAGGAAAAATCTAGCCTGATTTGCCATCAGGATCTATGCTTACCATTGTCTGAATATTTCTTCTTAAAATAACATTTGATTCTATTCCAATCTTCTACTTGCTTTTTCCTCAACCAGCTATTCTGGTAAATCATATAGTTTTTACATTCTAAAAAATACTACCTGAGAAAATTTAAGCGAAAGGGGACTTGAATAAAAATTTCCTAGATTTTTAAAACACAGCCCAAAATCTGAAAGATGAGAGAAAATTTGTTTTTTGTTTTGTTTGTTTGTTTGTTTGTTTTACTTAAAGGAGGTTATTTAATATAGTGTCTAAAAACCACACATTTATTTCTACATTCTTGCCTAATTTTGAGAAGCTACTTAGCCTTTTAGCCTTTGTAAAGTTCCATTTCCTCGTCTGTGAAACGACACTACTCATTTGATAAGATTATAAGGATTATATATGTAAAGTGCCTAGGACATCATAGGTAGTCAGTAAAATATGGTAGTAGTGGTGGTGTTGGTGGTGGTGGTGGTGGTGATGATGGTGGTTGTGGTGGTGATGGTGATAATGAAAGAGATGGTGGTGGTACTGACCTAAAGGATGCTTCAGAACAATGGAAATTTTCTTCAAATTTACGCTTAGGGGAAAACCAGTCTAAAAACAGATAACAAGTGTCGCTCAAGGGTATGGGGGTGAGGGTGAAAACAGACTGCTCAGACATCCTTTCTCTCTGCTAGCTGCCCACCTTTGTGGTCCCAGCAGTTTACCATGAAATCCTCAGCATTCAGCCAAACACAGTTTGAAAATTTATGGTAAGTGATTGACAAAAAAAAATGACAGGATAATGGTTTGCTTACTTTAGATCTATGGGAGGTTTAATGTTCCTGGGAGGTAGGCTTGGAACTGGTAGTTGTGTTGGGTGAGATGCTGGCAGTGGCGGTTGGCTGGCTGGATGAGGTGGTGGCGGTGGTGGTAAAGCAGTTGCTGAGTAAGGTACTTGCCCCTTGCTGATACCTAAGGAGCAAAGCAAAGAATACCATGAATTAAGACAAATCTTCAAAATACACGATATGCCTATTCCAAGTATGCAGAAACAAGAATCTTAAATATAAAAATGTAAAAAATGTATCCTAAGTTGAATCAATGCTTTATAGAGTCTGATATTCTAAGTATCAGGTAACGTGACAGGTTAAATATTCCATTTCTTTTTTTTCAGCTCTATTGAGGTATATAATTAACAAATAAAATTGTAAGATGTTTAAGTGTACAACATGATGATTTGACAGATGCATATATTGTGAAAGAATTCCCCCCATCAAATTAATTAACACATCCATCACCTCACATATTTACCTGTTTTGTTTTGTTTTGGTAAGAACATTTAAGTTATATTCTCTTAATAAATTTCAATTATATAGCACAGTGTTATTAATTATAGTCACCATGTTATACATTAGATCCTCAGGCTTTATACAGAAGTTTGTACCTTTTTACCAAACTCTCCTTATTTTCCACACCCCCTAGCCCCTGGTAAATACTTTTCTACTCTCTTTTACCATGAGTCCAGATTTTTTTATTTTGCTTTTTCCCCCCAATTCCACATATAAGTGATGCCATACAGTATTTGTCTTTCTCTCTCTGGCTTATTCCACTTAACATAATGCTTTCTAGGTTCATCTATGTTGTGACAAATAACAGGATCTCCTCCTTTTTAAAGGCTGAATAATATGCCACCATATATATCTACCACATTTTCTTTATCCATTCATCCACTGATAGATACTGAGGTTGTTTCCATACCTTGGCTATTTTGAATAAAGCTGCTATGAACATGTGAGTACAGATATCTCTTTGCTATAATGATTTTTACTTCCTTTGGATATATATCCAGAAGTGGGATTGCTGGGTCATATGGTAGTTCTAGTTTTAATTTATTGAAGAAATCTCATGCTGTTTTCCATAGTGGCTGCACCTTTACATTCCCACCAACAGTGTATAACTGTTCCCTTTTCTCCACTTCCTGGCATTTGTTATCTCCTGTCTTTTTTAAATAGCTATCCTAGCAGGTGTGAGGTGATATCTCATGTGCTTTTGATTTGCATTTCCCTGATAATCAGTGATGCTGATAAATGTTCTTTTTCTTGATATTGATAAGTTCATTGAGTTGAATTCCACTCTTAAAAATAATTTCTTACCTTATTAAGGAAAACCTTAACAAGTGTTAAATCTATGTGTAGAGTATATGAACTAATGCTTGATTCATGATTTTTAAAAAGATTATTGACTTTCTATTTGGTAGATGTGGTTTTTGCTCTTTTCCCCTTCCCTTTGCAATATAACAAGAACAGGACTTTTTGATTAAATCCATATTCATTGTTTTCATTATCATGACTAGGTAAATATTGTTCTTTGCTGAGTCAAGTAGTATACTATGATTACATTTTCTTTCTTATTCAACTAACTGTTTTCCTATAGCTAATAACTGCCTCATTTTGTCATCTGCAAAGAGTTTTCTTTGGAACTCTTTCTTCCCATAATTTCCAATAGTTTGTAAAGTGCCTTTAAATATTTCTGACAAAATAAAACCTGTGAGAAAATTAATCAGTTTTAATATATTGTCTTTGTCCACTTGCTCTAATCTGACCTGGTTGCTTTTAAGGTCTGTCACACATCTGTAATCCTGGTATTTCTCTTTGCCAGCCTCATGGCTCTGATATTTTGAGAAAATGCACTGTAATAAAGAGTGTCAGGTCTGGAGCCAGAGTACCTGGGTTTAAATGCTGGTTCCACCACTACCTACTGACTAACTTGGATAAGTCATTTTCTGGTTTCATCTGTAACATGGAGATAAAAACATTGCCACCTCATTGGATTGTGGTGAGGACTTAAGACTTAACATATGTAAAGTACTTAGGATAGTACCTGGCATATAGTAAGTTCAACCTTTCATTTTTCATTCTACAAATATTCATCGCATGCCTCCATTGGCCAAGTTCTGTTCTAGGGACTAGAATCACAACAGAGAAAAAACAAAAATTCCTGCTCTTGTGGAGTGAGAGAGATAATAACTGAATATAAGTAAAATACATATTAAATTGTCTTGAGAAATGCTATGAATGGTAGAAAGATATATGATAGTGTGTTATTGGCATCTCTTTCTAGCTCTGCATTCAGTGACCTCATTATGGGAGGTTGAACTGGAGCATAGTGGGAGCATTTACCTCATGGAAATGGACAAGAACTACAAATTTTGGCTTGATTTATTGTTTTGTTGATTATTAAATTTAAGAAAGTGATGGAGAAAATCCTGATAATGCAGATTAAACTTAAAAGCATGTCATTTCTGTAGTTATTATATTGTGAATAGCATGAAACATCGAGCAAATATTTTCCCAGTATTTAAAATCTGATATACAACTTAGCAAAGTTGTCACTCAGTCATTGGAAAGTGAGTGAAGTTCTGATATATATCTTTGTTGTTTCACATTTATCTTAGTAACCTAAGTGAAAATATCAATTAACATTTACGTCGGAAGCACATTCCTTCACTAATTGCAACCATAGGTTGCCTATAGATGTAAAAATCAACAATTGGCTATATGGAATTTTCAATAAAAGGTACTGTGCATTTTATTATTTGTATATTGTGTGTTGCACATTCTTTATATCAAGATTTTTTACATGTATGTTTGTATACATAACACACATACACAGTTCAACATTAACAGCATACCATTGCTTATATCTAAAAAAAAGTCTGTGTTCCACTGGCTATATGGTGAACAGCATCACCTGTCTCTGTATCTCCCCATTTTACTTTGACCTTTGTCATCTCTGTCAGTCCTCCATTCACTTTCTGATATCATATATTATGCTCTGGAATTATGCACATCACCTAGCTTTCCTGACTATGGAGTGTACATTTATTATATTCCTTGTTTTGGGCCAACTTTTTGAAAGAAAAAGGAGGTGCCCTCTTGAAAAATATTTATTTTAATTTTACATGTCTTTGAGCACTAGTAAGGTCAATAAAAAATTTTTACAACCATTTTTTCATTTTAATTGTGTTATCTATTCAAATCCTTTGCGTATTTTTAAAATAGCATTTGCTTTTTCTTATTGGCTTATAAAACCTTTTTATTAACGATCTTAATCTTTTTTCCTTTCACATGGACAAAGTGAATATAATATGTTGGCTGCTTTGGCTCCTGCCTCTGCCTGTCCATACCAAAAGAAAAGAAAACAAAACAAAAAGTAAATTATGTGCCATAACTAATAAAACCTTAAAAATCTTCAAAACCTTTGAAGAAATATAGTACTTTATTGTAAATTTCCTTAAAGGATCGATGGCAGGGTTTTCAATGGTATATTATAAAAAGTTTCCTAATTCCTTTTAGATACGCCTGCCTCTTTCCAAAGTTATTCACGTTAGTAATTAAAAATATTGCCCTCTCTGCTCATGATCACAGTCATCTGGCCTTAAAAGTTGCTCAGACCCTGCACTCCTGGCCTTTGACACCCTGCCAGGTTTCATTCTCACAGGAATTGCTCATTTTTTTTATTTGGCAGCCAATTTGGAGGGGTTGAGGTAGGGGGAATTAATTCCCTTATAAAGCTGATAAATACAAATTTCCAACTGATTATATTTATGTTAGAAATATTTTGTCCATTTCATTTTTGTCATGAGTTAAATTTTTTAATGTATGATACTTACCCTTTTTCTCCAAATCAATGGACAAATTCTTTTATATGTAATTTCTATTACTAGAGATATGTTTAGAAAGGTCTTTTCTACCTTGGGAACATATAATTATTAACCTTTTATTTTCTCCTCCTTTTTGGCTTTATGTTTTTGCAGTTAACCCCTTAAAACTCTTAGTAATTCATTTTGGAGCTAGACATAACATGGGATCTATTTTTATGTTTTTTATTATTGTTCTTAAATCATTCCCAGCAGCATTTATCTAATAAGCTATTACTTACTGATTTGAAAGGCCTCTTTTATCATTCAATAAACATTAAAAATCCTAGTGAATTTGACAAATGAAAATGACATTTGATTTTAATTTATAATGTGGTTTGATAGATTCATCAGTGATTTCAAAGCTGTACACAAAGAGAATAAGCCATTGTGAATGGATGCTAATAAACCATTATGTAAATAGAAGGAAAATGTTTACTAGCCATTTGTGACTTATCTTTTCCTAAAAAAAAATTTTGACAAGGAGGAGGCGTTACCACATGAGAGGGACCTAAGGCCTGAATGAGAAATTATAGACGTGGTTCAGAAACACTAAAAACTGACTTACCCTGAAACCTTTGTGCCACTTTTTCATCTTTACATAGGCTTCTGAGACTTTCTGAGGGCGCACCTGTGGGGGGTCCCTGCTTTTCTGTTTGCATCTATTCCCCTTCCCTAGTTATAACTGCAGTAACTTGGAAAGGGCAGTGCTTGCTTCTTCACTGAACTTGAAAGTCAAGGGGGTCCTCCTGGAACTGCTGGCAGCCATCTCGCCACCACCAGGGGAGGGCTTGCCTGAGAGTGCAGCAAAGCCAGAGTAAAGCAGACTGAGAGACAGACTGGCTGGATTAAAAAAACAAAACAAAACAAAACAAAAAAACACCTTTGGAAAGCTGTCAGAGATAATTTGAAAAGCTTAATGAGGCACTAAACTAATTGTTAAGCATCCTGTTCCTCATCAAGCTTGGGAGAACATATGCTAAAGTCTTCCTATGCTACAACTCATATTTAGCAGCAAAGCATTTGCTTTGCAAAATATGTGGTCACTTTCAAACAAGGAATATGTTTGCATGTATACAAAATAATCCTAAGAAAAAGCACCTTAGTTTTTCAGGGGAAAAAACAGGTAGACTTACGTTAACATAAAATGATTGGCTATAAAATCTCAACCTGGACTTCGTAGTATTCTAAAATATAATTAGTAATATTGGAATTTTCAAAAGCAAAGATCTAGTGTGTTGTGATGGAAAGAAGGGGGTGGATATTGAATTTG